ACAATCTTTCTATCAATACTGTGAGTTCCATGTGTTCTGCAGGCTTATAGTAGTGGATAATACCTCTAAACATCACGTGAATGTTGTCACATAATATTATAAAATTATTAAATAATTATCAATTATCCAATTTCATGACAGTTGAACTTGCCAAAAACCATAGCAAGAAAAGAGTTAGTCCCTCAGATTGAGATGGAATCTAATACATAAGATAGTCTGCCAAATTTATAAACAAGGGTTGGTTACCTTTTTATTCTCTAAGGTTTTGTTTGTTTGCATGTAAAATATTTTCTTACAAAATATTTTCCTAACTTTTTGGTGTTTGGTTACGTATAATTGGGTAAAATATTTTTGGGTAAATTATGCCACTGGTATTTTAGTTTGAGTGAAGTATTACTTTAATTCCCATAGTTTTAATTTGAATAATTTGAATACTTTCAATTTTGTTTTACTAAAATTTACCCACTTGACTTCCGTGCGGAATGTGATTGAAAGTGAAAATTACAATGTAACTCAAAAACAGAAATAATACCAAGAAAAACACTTATGTAGATCGGTTTTTGAGATTTGTATCAATTTAATTTTTAATATATATAAAAAAAATATTTTGATTTGATCTTCAACCTAATTACATTTGTAGATGTTATAAAAAAAAAAAACCTAACGAATTACGTATTGGTACACACATTCCAAAACATGGTACACTTTCATTCCAAAACAGTAAATTTAGCGATCCGAAGCAATCTCAAAAATTTTCCAATATATTTCCTTAAATGTTACATTAGGAGGGGAAAAAATCAAATATAATGAACTAAAATCGAAACTGACTTAAGTTTTGACAAGACAAAAATATAAAAAATTATATATATTTTATTGGATGCCTAATAGTTAAAAGAAAATTACTTTAGAAGTACCTTAAATTTTTAAATGTAATATATACAAGTCTACCCCTATTTTACCACATTTTAGAGTATGTAGCGTGCCACGTTCCTGTTCTCGTTCCATATACCAAAATGATCCACGTTCTAGGTAACATAGGTGTCACACCCCAAATCCAGGCATGACCGGTCGTGGCCCACAGGGACTCAGCCCAAGGCACATGTAAGCCTAAACACGAATCTATACACATTGAATAACTATAAAATAGTCCATTAATAAATAACCAAAACTCAATCCAGTGCCATGCCACAAGTATAAACGGCAAAACCAACCGTAATCAATATCATCCAAACTTATGGGATATAAACAACCCACATATCAAAATAATCCTAAATGAACCTCAATAAAGACAACTATAAATATGCACAAACTTGACATAACAGTCTAAAACAAAATAAATGAATGTCCTAGAGATCCATACAATTAAGTCTCCATTACACCATAAGTCCACTCTAAGTCCTTCTAACCTGGAAATGGTAAACAACTAAGTCACCTGATAGCTCAGTGAGTAGCAACATGGATAGTAAATACAGTTTTCAAAACATGGCTCAATTTCAAAATAAGATATATATCACAGAAACTAAATTGGCATACAGTTTGGTAAAAAAAAAATATGTTTAAAAAAGAAGGTTCCACAATTCAACAGTTAAAATACTTACGTCTCTCGAGAACATGATAAATGACATTTTTTACTTAAAACAGATTACAACATGAACACCAATAATTTTCTGGGTACTAAGAAAAACAAATAATATGTCACACAGTTCTCAAGGCTATAAGTCCCGTTGGATCCAACACTGAACTAAGAGTCATCTTCAAGGTGGCAACCTGGGCCTTTTCTCAAAGACGATCCGATTGAAGGTCACCTAGCTTAACCTAGGTCTTTTCCTTACAATCGTTGAGCACTAGAGTCATCACGGCCCAACCCGGATCTATTCCTTAGTGGCCAGAGTCACCACACAGTGGAATAATTTCTCTGGACTAAATACACAGATGGTCCCAATAATCAATACACATCAGTTTCGCAAAACATGGTAGTTCATCATTATAAACATGAGACCAAAACAAATAGTTTACAGTATGCCAAGTTCACACATGTTTCAGAAATAATTTGATTCCATCGATAATATAATAATTTATCAAAGCAGTTTAGTCATGAAACAACAATTCAATTTTCTAACAGTTCAGGGTAGGGGAACATTTATAAAAATATGTGGCATGAAACTACTCACCTGGAAACGAAATAATGTAATCCTTGAATAGAGTACAAAAGTCCAACTAGTGCCCTGAACCAAGTATGAAGACTACACGTCACTACTAATTTAAAAATACTAAAGAGAATAATAAACTAAGTACCCCACACTAAAGAGCACTAGCACAGCCCAACCCCACTCACTGTTACCCTTAAATAATACCTAAGCTCATGTTCTTCATGGTCTAAAATCACCCAAGACATGGGTTCAAGTCGAAACTTAATTAAAAGTAACTTTAAGATAAAACATAATTTTAAGAATAAAGCTTGAGACCCCCAGTGGGGGTACTGGGGGTCCTCACTGATTGGTCCAAAAAAAACAATTTTTTTTTTTTTTTTTTTTTTTTATTTTTTTTTTCCAAGTCTTGTTCTCATAGCAAGACAAATGGCATTGGGGGTGCTGGGGTCGCCCCCCACTGGGGGTCCCCAGCATTGCCGTAATTTTAAACAAGCCTTCCCAATCTATTCGCTAACTTTGAAAATTACAAAACCCATTTCACGCTATTCAAAAAATTTCAAAACCCTCCAGATGTCAACTACTATATCCTAAGTTTCAAACCCAATTGGTTTCACTTGATTTGCTTATCAAAATAATTATCTATAATTGATTATATATATACAGGTTGTTTTCTGCAGCACTTTAAAGAAATTGACGGTTCTCTTAATATACACGAGCAATCAACGCAAGGCCAAAAATGTACGAAACTTGTAACCGGTTCTAATGACGCTGATTTGATAATTTTCGGATTTATACCCAAGAGAACGACACTCCCGAATTTACTGTGTAAACCAGTTTTCTGGACAGATTTGAACGCATCAGCTTATATGGATTTTGACTCCCAAAAATTATGAAAAAATTCATCAATATATAATTAATCTACTGTAAAAATTTCAGTTCAAAATTCATCCATTTGATATGGTTTCTTGATTTTTAAAGTTTGTCATTCTGTGCAGAATTTTTGGACTAAGAATTATACCCATTCTTTATACATCAATTTAGCTCCTCAGATTTCTTAACAGTGTGTATATATATACAAAATACATAAACCTACAACCTCTCCACAATGAATAAAATAATTATAGAATAAGGATGAAGAACAAAGAAAAAAGAGAAGAAAACCTAGGAGGGCTATCCTTTGATGATCACACACAGCACAACACACCCAATTCCATCCTTAATTAGTTGCAACCTTTTGTTTCTCTTCTTTCTCATGGCTGCTGCTGCTAGGGAAATTGTTAGAAGAGCTAGGGTTTTGTTTTGTTTTTATTTTATACTAGTGGTTGGGTACATCTAAACCATGTGTAGGTCAAATAAATAGATAAATATACAAAACATATATATATATATAAGTTATATGCAATTCAAATGGTAAGAGCCTTATTTATTAATTTTGTGGTCTAGAGTTCAAGTCACACCCTCTTCTCTATTTTTTTATTTTTTTATAATAAACATTGCCTCTAAATTAAAGACTTCCACCATAAATTTTTTTAGATTTAAAAATTAATTGAAAGACCCTTCAATAATATTTAATTTGCACTTAAAGATTCACAATAAAATATTTGAGATTGTAATATTATTATTATTTAATTATTTACTAAATCTTTATATTCGCGTTCTTACAATAGGTCTGAATTAATTGGTCTTAGTTTTGCTCATATGGGTACTACCATGGAGAATGCAAGAGAGGCACTGATAAGGCATCTCAAGGAGATCTTTCAAAGATATGGTACTATCAATCAAAAAATGCGTCCTCCAGAGGAGTCAATGTTAAGGAGATCTTTCAAACTATCAATCAAAAAATGAATCCTTCAAAGGAATCAATGTTGTGGAATCTCCTTCGCCTATGGGTAACATATGCCTTTCAATACAAAAAAAGATTTTTTTTTTCTTTTGTAATTTATAAAATATATTTGAAAGTCATTTTACATAAATGCAGAAATCCCAATGTTCATCATGCTAGAACAAGCAATTAGCTTAACAGAGTTGCATCTCAATCTGAACGTTTGTGATATACTTGATATTCTGAATCTATGTGGTAAATTTTTAGCAATGATTCTGAATCTATTTGGTAAATTTTTAGCAAAATATTTCTTAGACTGCTAATACATTGTCAAACTCGTAGCACTGCCAATTGACTCATTTTTACCTCATACTCGGTCAAGTTTTATTAACTCTTTTTTACCATGGCTATCAAATTTTGGTACATTTCTATCTAGACATTCTGTAGATGATGTTGCCAGCTCCTGGTCAAATAAATAAGTGTGGACAGAGCGCTTTGGAAAAATGGAAATTAGTCATGATGAAATTCGGTGCATAGAAATCGTGAATCATTTGGAAACATGCACGGTATGACTTTATTGGCTCTTATTTTCGATGTAAAAGCGATGCCCAGTAGTTTTTAGGTTATTTATTCTTGATGCAAGAACGTTACACATTCTTGATGCTTCATGTTGAGTTGGAACACAACAAATTTCACAAAAGCAAATCTTTATTAAGTAAAAAGATACATTTAAGTACACAAAGGAAACTCTCAAGGACACCTCAATTGGAATCACTCACTTGAGCACTTTGACTTCACTTCTTGCTGTTGTGTTTCCAAATGAGGTTGCTTTCTTTTATATAGTCATCCATCTCCTCAATGGATGGCTAGGATCATTTTGATCCAATGTCTATTATTAAGCTACTAGAATATTCTAGCATACATTCACACTTTCACTATATTCTAGAACTATCTAAACTATTCTAGTATATAGTAGAACTTTTATGCTTCTCTAAAATGTTTTAGAACCTTCTGGAACCTTTTAGATTTCTCCAAGCTACTCCAATGTTCTGAAACCTTCTACGATATTCTAAACTCTTTCGAATTTCTTTAGACCTTTCTAGAGTCTACTAGATCTTTCCGGAGTCTTTTAGTTTATTCAACATGTGTAGTTGATGGCTTGGATAATTCTAGAAGAGTCAACGATGATGACTTTTAATAGATCATGCAGGTCCTTCAAGAGGAAAACTTCAGTATAATCCGTCACATGTAAGTACTCCAAACGATTGCATCCTTTTCATTTTTCAATTTTCTTCTTGTTTTCTTTGTTGTTTCAAATCATTAGTGCTTCTTCTTCTTCTTCTTCTTCTTCTTCTTCTTCTTCTTCTCTCTCTCTCTCTCTAGGCTTGAGTTTGAGTCACGTATCATCTTTGACATCAACCATTTTGAGGTAAAGGTGTTTAATGGGAATTGGGATGATGCTAAGGGATACCTTTCTTTATTCTGCAAATTAGAAGACAGTGATGATTCTAAGAAAATCTTCTTTGAAATGCAGAAGCCGAAGTTTTTTGAGGCATTTGATAAGTGAGTTTGTAATTTCAGGATTTCTATTGCAGTATTTTCTCTCTTTGTATGCCATTTCTTCTTCTCAAAATCTTGTTTGCTGAAATTTTGTTAACAATTGCTTAGGCAAGATATTCACAAGGCTGGAGAAATTCTCATAAACCAACTGAAATTTTTTGCCTAATTTGATTGTTATGAACAAGAGCTCAGCAAAATGGTCTTTGCTGGCAAATACTGATTTCAGGTTTGAGCTAAAAAAATACCATTTTAATTATCCTGTTACTTTGATTGCCTTTATTATGACTGAATGATATTGTCTTAGTTATGCTTGTAATGGTACTACTGTAGAGAACACAAGAAAGAAATTGATAAGCCAGCTCAAGATCATCTTTCAAAGTAATGACACTATCAAACAGAAGCTGCATACCCCTGAATTAGAGAAGTAAAAGTTATGGTATTTCCTTAGCCAAGGGTAATATTCCTTTCATTGAAAAAAGGTTTAGTGATATACAAAATGATTTGGAAAGCGGATTTATAAAATGCAGAAATCTCATTGTTTCCCATGTAAGTACAAACAATCAACCGGAAAGAGTTGCATCTCAGTCTCAACATTTACTAAGGCTTGTGATGTTCTTGATTGGATTGATTCTGAATCTATTAACTGCAAATGGCACAATCTCATATTCTAACAAGAGGCCCACCACGAGTCTTGTTTCAATTATCCGAACTGTTCAATGTGTAGAGTTCGTCGAGTACTTTATCTCTGTCAAAAATCACATTGATCTGATATCAATAGCTACTTTGATTGGATCAGATTTTGTCAACAGTAAATATAATTTTCAAAATAAATTGTTGCCAACAAGAAGTATTCGGATATTTTGCAGAGGATGTTGCCAACTCCTAGTCAAACAAATACGTGGACAGGGTCTCTTCAAATTCTGTCCATGGAAATATTGATCATTTGGAAACATTCACACTCCCAGTATATGACTTCATTAGTTCTTATTTTTCATGTACTTATTCTTCATATTTGAGGTTATACATTCTTGATGCTTCAAGCTCCTTAAGTAAAAATTATTGAACAAAGTGAGGTAAATCTTGAAGACCAGTTTGAAATGAACATCAATCAGGTGTCTTCATCCCATGCTATAATGTACAACAGCAATACAAATATGCAAGGAAATAACAACTGAAATTAGAGAACCTCGCTTAGGAATGACAAAAACAGAACTACGAAAATAGGGGAATTTGGTTTCTATGCCTTGCTAATTTTAAATTTATGTTAGATGATGTTAGATGTTGAGGTTTTACTTACTCCACTCATTTCTATATACACACAAGCTTGCAATCTTATTTTATATTGGCCGAACAAGAAATGTTGTTTCTGATTCTCTTCTCTCGTGAGTAATGTAGATTCTGAGGTTGATTTACACTACGGGCCTTTTTAGCATTAGCATATATTGGCATCCATCTGCTCTGGAAGTAGCAAGATGATATGAAGGTAAAGGTTTCCCATCTTTAGTCTGAAATTATTCATCTTCCATAATAGAATAGAAAAAAAAAAGGGTTGATTATTGTGAGAATTGTTGCATGGTGCAGGCAACAACAAGGTATTGCCCCCAGTTATGGGAACCAGAAGCAGGAAAACAAATGAAAAATGATTTGCTAAACCTGAAGACGCCGTGGCTTGTTTTTCCTTGTCCCGCCATGATAAATATCTCATCTCAGCATCTGGAGATTTAGTTTCCGGGTTCAGCATGAAAACCTTTGAGGTATTCTAACAAAACAAACCAACGGATGCTTGGAAGTTCTTTAACCGTCCTCTGGTTAATATGAGTGATATTAATTAAATGTAATAACACAATTGAATCGAGTGTTCTTTATTGTTGCATTCAAAGATACCTTATTTTGTTTGGGTTAGACTGACCACTCCCAAATGTTTGATAAAAATCACAGAATTTAGAATCTTCCATGGGTCCACCACCTGCTGCAACATGTCTGTTTCCACCCTCAAGACAAGTTTCCCATTTTTATCGGCAGGGATGATTCCAAAATTCTGATACATACACGCCGAAAGGAGGTATGATATATAAGCAAGCTGTGATATTATTGTTGAAGAGAAAATCTAGAATGCCAGTTTCGAATAGGGAAGAAAAAAAAAAAGCAACAAAAAAAGTACTTTATTTTTTGTAGGATGAAAGCGAGATTGCAGGTGTTCACTCCTGAAGAATCACTGGCCTAACCTTTTCCACTAAGCTGAATGCACTTATTTCTTCCGCAGCAGATGCTGAGGTTAGGATTTTATTTTTTCCACAGACGCTTGTGTCTAGTCCTGCTATTCCTGATACTAAATCCCTATTTTGAATGATATAGATTTTTTATTTTGTATACAACATTTATTATTTTATTTATTTTTATTTTAAATTTAAATCCAGATTACAGCCTGGAAGCTCAGAAATTCTAGAGTTGTACTGAAGGGTAGCTTGGAGTTTCCAGGTGAGAACAGTTTCACAAAGATCAGCTACACTTTCTCGCTGTAAATGAAAGGCGATTCGCCATATGTAAAATAACAGAGCTAAAGTGGAGATCAATGGCATTTTCATTACAGAGAACATGATTTAAACATCTATATTGCATGACATGTAAACTGTTTTGTGGTGGACTTGGCTCAATTCCTATCATTTTTATTTTCAAGTTGACCTAGTAATGGGGCTTGGGAATATAGGGGGTTTTCCGGGAGAGGTACCAGTTTCTAGATTATCTGATGCTTTTTTGTTTCATGTGATGCCCTGTTGGTGTACATTGCCCTTCGGCATGGACATGTTAGCATATGTTCTGCTCCAGGCCTCCAACCACAACATGAAATTTATCGCAGTGCTTATCTTTCATCCGATGCCAGGTATTTGATGTACTGAAAAAATTTCTCTTAATATTTGTGCCTAACTCTTCACTAGTATAGCTATTAATATTTTTCTTCTTCTACAATTTTCCTGAGAAGCTTGCTTATTATTAGATAAAATTTCCATGAGATGTCATTTACTAATTCATGGCTAGAAATTCCAAAATGATTTGTAGAAGTTAGCATGATAAATGCTTCTTTATCTGGCAGTAATTGCTGATTTTCATGAGCATGAATGATTATTCTGCCTTGGTGATTCTTTAGATGATTGTTGGCGACACTTCTAACTCGTTTCTCTCTTCTTTTTTATTATGATTATTATTATTTTTTTTGTTCTTTCTCTCGACAGTTTGCAAGCAGTTGTGATTGCTTCACATCCACAGGAACCTAACCAGTTTGCATTAGGATTCACAGATGGCAGGGTTATTGTGGTTGAGCCACTTGATGAAGAAGAAGTTGGTTCTCGTTAGATCTTTTACTGTCAGTTTTATGTAGAAAGAAAGATTATATGTAGAGTTTATTATACTGGCATAGGCCAAAATATTTGTGACCCTAATATATGTATGTCGAATTTTGTGGTATTCTATACTAATGTTCTGATCAATTGTCTGTTCAGTTTCTTGGGAATGCATGTAAGTATGTGTGTTTGTTTTTATTTATTTATTTTTTTTTTAAGACAGCATAGATCTACTCAAAAAGTATTTTCTTAGTAGTGTGGTATGGGTTTGAGTTGCGAAATTATCCTCTGCAAAAAATCGGGGTAAGGATGCTAACCTAGTAACTACTTTTCTCAGATTTTGCTTGTGCCCAAGCACCAAATGTCCTTCTTTCTTTCTTTTTTTTTTTTTTCTTAAAAAAAAAAAATTATTAAAATCACCTGGAAAAATCCTTGTGGAAGAGCAGAGCTTTGTGGTGTGGCCGACATTCCTTAAAGCCCTGAACTTGTTCTAGTGTGTAGAAAAAGATTTTCTTTAGTTGAAAGTTCTCCACATACTTTTCTTTGCGATATAGTTATTTGCCACATTAAAACACTTAAAAATGACCATGTTTGAATCATCGATTTGAGTAGGAATTTGGAAATAAAAGAAAACCGTGAGAAAAAAAAAAAAGCTTGAAAGTGGAAAAAAATTGCAATTATTTTCTTTCTTTCTTTGGCCATGAGAAACAACAACTGATAATTGCATATGAACAAGCGCAGAAGCCAAAACCAACTTGAAAACATTTTGGACATTCAAATACTCGTTACTCCTAATTCAAAACTCAATAATAACAAACTTCTTATTATTGCATAGATAAATAGTCGTTAGATAGAAAGATACTGATCATTTTGATCAACAAACACTGGTAGCTCTCCGAGGGAACATAATAAAAGGAGGGTCCCAAACATAGGCGAACTTGACAGTGTCATGAGGTTTCAAGAGTTTGTTGGGAAGGACGGCACATAGTCCATTGTCAATCGGTTTAAAAATTGCAGGATCAATTGGTTCAGCTGTTTTGAATCCTGCACATGACAAAGCCATGTCTTGTCGCGAACAATTGCAGTTGTTGATCACTGTCACGTTCCATTCTGGTTTACCTTGTATTGTCCTATCCGTCCGATGTTGATCTATGTTCAGATTGTCCAAGCTACATACTTGGCTTAAACCTGTAATTTAATTTTCAACTATGAGTAACTCTATTTCATAGAATTAAATCCAAAATGTATAATATATATACACATGTTAATATGATACAGCTCATTTTTGGTGAAAATAATAAATATATCAACAGAATGATCTCTTTGTGCAGACGTGCACATTCTCGATATTTTGTGTGATTTTAGTTTTGGAGTCATTATGATAAAATATATATATGATAAAATACATATATGACACACACACATATGTATATATATATATACTCTGATTATATATATAAAAGAATTTGTGAAAAAAATAAGAACCTTACTTTTGCCAACAATACTTGAAAGAAGAATATGCCGACATGATGGAATTCATTTAAGGTGAAAATAATAAAAACGTCAGGAATAAAAGTATCTTTGGTGCTCCCTAACATGCTAACGTGTACATTTTCATATTTTTGTATAATTTGATTTTACACTCATCATGGTAAAATACATATATAACATACTTTGGTCTTAAATAAAGGTCATTACCGGGGTAGAATTTAGGGGCACAAATTTGAAATACAGAAAGTGTAATGAAAATACATTGGGTGGCAAGTATTTGCTTTACCCATGGCCCACACAGCACACAAAAAAATCTCAGTCATACAGTAAACTCTATTGTCCAAAATTAACATGTGATTCAAGATTTATTTATTTATGAATCTCATACTACATAAATTTAATCTCTATCATACAATTACTCACTCACAAAAATCTGAATCAATAAGTCTGGGTTTCAAGACTTATTCAAAAAGGAAGGAAATATTACCACACATATTTAACATATAAATCTTTCTTAATTAACTATTAAATTATGCTTTAGATTTACATGTTCTGATATTTTCACATAATTCAATGATTAGGAGTAAATTGAAACAAGGGTGTGAAGATATTTGGGGAAAGAATCCATAATCATATGATTAGGAGTAAATTGAAACAAGGGTGTGAAGATATTTGGGGAAAGAATCCATAATCATATGTATATATATATATATATATATATCAATAATTCTAATAATACTAAAAATTTTACTAAAAATACAAGAGGCCAAATATGATTGTTTGTCAAAAAAGAAATCACTCTGTTTGTTTTGAAATTTTTAAATATAATTTTTTTAATTTTCAATTCGTATTTTTTTATTTTTAGTAAATTTTTGAACATTTTAATCAAATTTTTTACTCTTTAGATCTACAGAATTTAGGTAAACTTAAAATGTATAAAATTTATACAAAAATCTTTACAAAAATGCATTGACGACAAAAAAATTTAAAAAATTTAAAAAAAAAAAATTGAAAGATTTTTGCATAATTTTTGTACCTAGGTAACAAAAAACAATGAATAATTTTTTTTTAAATTCACTAAAAATAATAAAATATGGATTGAAAATTTAGAAAATTATTTTTAAAAAATCCAAACATCCAATAATATTTGGACATATATATTTTTAGTAAAATTTTTAATATACATATTATAGAATTGAGAATGGGAATATTGCGTAACAAGTTCAATTTGAAAAAAAATTATACAGTCCGATTAAAAAAGGCTTTGTCAGTGTTCAATCGAAAATGATCAATGTGTGTGTACGTGTGTGTGAGAGAGAGAGAGAGAGAGAGACGAGAGAGAGAGAGAGAGAGAGAAATGGCAGTCAGAGTCTTACCTTTGCTAACAAAACTTAGAAGAAGAATTGTAAAGAAAAACTTCAGGGAAGACACCATTGTTAAGAAATCTCTATTTCAAGTGTGTGTTCTTATTCAGGCCAAGTTTGGGAAGACTAGGCCAAGTTTGGCATGATTTAAAAAAGATAAAAAGTCAAAAAGTCACTATCTTATTTAAATCACATCATCTTATTTAAGTCACATCACCTCTCTAACACATCACTTCAAACCCAACCCAAACCCAACCCATATTTCATAAAAAGTCAAAAAGTGCACTTATTTAGTCTTCCCAAATTAGGCCTAAATAAGTGCACTTTTTGTCTTTTTAGACTAAAAAGTTGAGGTTGAAAATATGAATGTTTGGGTTAACTTTTTGACTTTTTATGAAAAAATGTGTAATAAAAAATTGTAAAAATTAGTTTGTAGGAGAAAATTAGAATTGGGAATTGTGCAGCCGTAATTGTTGACTTGGTGAATAGTAATGACTTTTTAACTTTTTGAGTAACTTTTTGACTTTTTGACTTTTTTTAAACTACCCAAACTTGGCCAATATATCTAACATGTACACCTATTTATATGAAGCAAATTCACAGTCTTAAATAAAAAAGGCTATGAATTAAGTATTTCCATATATAAAAAGTGTCCATATTTCCATTTCAGAATTCCATATATATATATATATATATATAAAACAAAATAAACTCTGAATTATTAATTTTATAAATTTAAACTCTAATATTTTAATTTGTTTTTAATATACACTATTAACCTATTTGAGTTAAGTAAAATTGACCAAAAAAAAATATTTTAATCATTAAATTCAATATAAATGTACATAAAATGTTTAAAATACTATTTTTCTTTGAGTTTAATAATTAAAATATATTCTTTTCGTCAACTTAACGAAAATAGATAAATAGATCAGATTGAAAATAAATTAAAATTTTAAAATTTAAAATGATAAAATTTAAAATTTATTTCATTATAAGGGTCAAATATTGATTATTATTATGATTTTGAAAAAAAGTTAAACTTTTCAAATATGTTCGATTCCCAATTTTAAATTGAACCAAACCAAACTAAAATTATTTATTATTTTTTAATATTTTTTGTACATGAAAATAAGAATAAAGAAGTTAACAGTAAGATTTAAGCATTAGTCTTTTTTGGACAAAATCCGCTTTATCCGCCTATGGTTTAGATCATTGGCACTTTACCCCATATCATTTTGAAATAACCATTTATCCCTCATTTGATTTTTAGTTGTTTTGCAATTTACCTTCCTGTTGTTACTTATTTTGTCTAAATGGACAGAATTTGACATACACACGATGAAAAATAGAGTAGGTATTGAAAAAAATTAATTTAAAAGTTTAAATATGATGTAAAAAGACACATTTGTCGGATCCTCTATAGTGATCTTGTGAAGTGATCCTCCAGAGTGCGACACCTATCTCACTAAAGTGATTCAAGAGCTAATTTGTCCCCTCAACAAAATGAGGGAGACGAAAAAAAAGAAGACATTTTTCTTGGAGAAGGTATTGGTTGGCCTTGGGGCACTGCTATGTGATGTCTCAACAATGTTGTAATTGGTGGAAGAGGTAAAATTCACGATTTTGGGTTAAGTGATTGTGGAATATGAGAGGGCATGGTGAATTGTGAATGGTGAGGGCATGACACATGGCGCCCCTAGACCATCCACGAAGCTATTCCCAAAACCCCTTCAACAGAGTGATCATATGTAGCAGCTCACTATTGATTCTAGCGACACCATAGATTTTGACAACACCATAGATTCCGGTGACACCATCGAGAGGGGATGGATTTTTAGGAGCGAAGGACTTTTTTATCGCAATCTTGGAGCACAAGAAGTCCCCCAATCGACTCATCGTCTACGTGGCCATCAATGATGACAAATTTGTCATCACGATGCTATCATGGAAAAGTTGTAGCTTTTTTGTGGAGAAACGATCTTGATCAAGGTTGTTTGTTTTTTCATCTTCAATTTATGTATTTATTCGAATTTTTGTGAATTGGGTTTTTAGGGATTGGGATAAATTAGATACATTTTGGGGTTTTTATTACTTTTCTGCGGTGATACAATCTTGATCAAGGTCTGTTTGTTTGTTTGTTCTTTTCATCTTCAGTTTATATATGTATTCGAATTTCTATGAATTGGGTTTTAGGGATTGTGATGAATTAGATACATTTTGGGGTTTGTTTTTATTGCTTTTTCTACAGTGATACAATCATGATCAAGGTCTGTTTGTTTGTTTGTTCTTTTCATCTTCAG